CACCCCGGCGGCTATGCCAACGGCTCCAACCGCTCGGACCTGCTCCCCAAAGGACCCGACGAGGAGGACCTGGACGTCAACACCGACATCTACTCCAAAGTGATGGTGACCGTCATCTACCTGGCTCTCTTCTTGGTGGGCACCGTGGGGAACTCCATCACGGCGTACACGCTGGTGCGCAAGAAGTCGCTGCAGAACCTGCAGAGCACCGTGCACTACCACCTGGCCAGCCTCGCCTTCTCCGACCTCCTCATCTTCCTCCTCTGCATGCCCATCGAGCTCTACAACTTCATCTGGGTCCATCACCCCTGGGCTTTCGGGGGAGCCGTCTGCAAGGGCTACTACTTCCTCCGGGATGCCTGCACCTACGCCACGGCGCTCAACATCGCCAGCCTCAGCGTGGAGCGCTACATGGCCATCTGCCACCCCTTCAAGGCCAAGAGCATCATGTCCCGCAGCCGCACCAAGAAGTTCATCAGCTGCATCTGGATCGCCTCCTTCCTCCTCGCCATCCCCATGATCTTCACCATGGGGGAGATCTACGGCAAGGACCGGGATCCCGACTCCCTCATCTGCACCACCATCGTGGACCCCTCCACGCTGAAGACGGTCATCCAGGTGAGGATCCTGGGGCTCCCGGAGCTGCGGGGCCAAGCAACCGCCTCCCTCCCCGGGCTCGGGGGGCCAAAGTCAGCGTGGGGGGGGACCCAGCCCTGACGGGACGGACCGGCCCGGGGGCGGGACGCGGTTGATCCGGCCCCGCGCCGGTGCAGCCCCCGCCGGGAACCTCTCCCCCCGCGGGGCCGGTGCCCACAGCCCACCCTGGCCCGGGCCGGGACCCCCGTGTGCCGCAGAGCCCCTCCGCCATCTGGGAGTGGGGATGCTTGGGTCCTCCCCACGCGTGGCAGTTTGTCGCCAGAAACCCCACAAATCTCCACCCTTCCTCTGCATCTTCTGCGTCTCCTTGCTTTCTGCTGGAAAGCTGCAGGATCAAGGGAAATAAAACTGCCCCTCCCAGTTTCTTGGGTCAATCCAGAGCCCGTTTCCCCTGTGTAGTGACAGATCCTCATTTCAGAAAGTTTTGGGAAAAAGGCGCAGGACGGGCATCCAAAAAGGAACTTCATCTTCAAAGCCAGAGGCTGGTATTTTTGCTGTTTTGGGGAAATCCATAGCTAGTTCAACCAGCAGACCCCTCCTGACTTCAGAAAGGCTTTGCTGGTCTCCACACACGGCTTCATCTAACGCGCCCGTGTGTGGAAAGGATTTCAGCATCAACACTTGCTGCGCTCCAGTGCTCTGAGGGGCTGAGGCATTTGTTTACTGGAGCATTGGGCTTGAAAAATGCAAGAGACATGGAAGGAGAGACAGAAAGAGCAGCACACCAATCTGCATAGTCCCTTTGCTGCCGGGCTCGCATGTGATAGCTTCTCAATCTTTTATTTTGAACATGAATTTCAGGTGGGTTTAATCAGCGGGTAATTAGAATTTAAAACTGCACGTGTGCTAAAGCCTTTGAGATGTTCTCACAGTTAAAGGGAGGGAATTTAAATAGAAACAGATCAGAATCGTTTCTCCCATTAAAAGCAGGCGAGGGTACATGCAATTAGGTTTAAGCCCAGAGCCTGTGGATCTTTAGACGTGTCTCTCCAAGTTTCCCCCCATGCTGCTCCACTAAACCAAAATCCAGCCCCCACAGAAGCCCTGGAGTCCCTCTGCATTTGCTCGTGACATCTAACTTTCACCTGGGGATGGTGGGGGCTGTATTTCTTCCGTGGGTGCTCTGTAGATTTTGTCAGTGGCAGCCCAGCGTACTTAGCCCAAATGCTCTGCTCTCCAAGGAGAGGTGAACCGTCGGATTTGAGAACAATTGTGGCTGAAATGCATTATTTCCAGTCATCTTCCTCTCAGGATTAAATTGCTGCTCATTGTTACCATGATAGGGATAAAAAGAGAGGATTATTTCCTAGCCATGTCTTTGGAGATTACAGTTGAAACAATTCTCAACATATTTTACAGTCTTGCTATTATTCAGGCTATACCTTATCCTCTTACCCAAGTAAGAAGCAGGCAGACATGAATACACAATATGTGAAGAGCACCTGGAGGCTTCTCCTCATGTGTTTTATTTTATTTCACTTGTGAATTAATTTTGAAGTAAAAAGTGGGAGGCAGCTGCTGGGGGGGAAAAAAACCCACACCACCATACTGTTCCTTCTCAGGGGATCTGTCTACAAAAGTAGCTTTGCTAAGGTAGGAAGGTTGTTTAATGGCTTTGCTCCGTTCCACCGAGCGCAGGGAAGCAGCGCACAACGTGATGCAGGGCCCCGGACCGGGGAAGGCTCCAGAGTGAATAAGCAAAGCAGCTGTAAGTCAGGTTTGAAGTGCGTTAATGGAAACCATGGCACAGCGTGTGAGCGGGCATTCTCACGTCGTGAGCTGTGCAGAGGTTTAAAAAAAGACGAGTAATGGAAGACCTGTGAAAGAAAGGGCAGTGGCAACGTGGAGAGTGACGCGCAGAGGTCTTGCCGGTCGGAAGTCTGGAGCCCTGGTCTTGCGCAGTGGAGTCCAGCTGCTTTAGAGCAGGTCTTTGCGTCTCTTTGCATTCGTTTTCTGTCTTTAAATCAAGCAGAGCAATGATGCGCTTGCTAGAGCTGGCAAATCACTGGTGATAAATCACTCAACATATTTCACTCCTCTTCCTGTTTGGCAAACTGTCTAAAGCAAATAGGGTTTTTTTGGAAGCCATTAGTTCTCTGAGAGGTTTTATTTGTTGACCGATTGAAAGGCAGCCCCAG